CGTGCAACTGGGTCGGAAATTGCAGCTCCAAAACCGGATCTCGACGCCAGAGCGAAAAAAAGACGATTTTGAAGCACTTTTGAAAAGGATTTTTAAAAAGAAAATCACCGGCGCCAAAATGGAGAAAATCTGCTGACAAATCACTGTCGCAGCCTTCATGCAGCCACTCCAGTACGATTTACGAGATCCAGCTGCAAAAGACAATAGTATTACGAATGCAGCCACAGCACGCAGCAACCTTGACGCAGCCATTACAATGCGATCTGCAGAGTCAGAGATTGAGTTCCAAAACACAATAGAACTACACGCAACGGCGTCGGAAATTGGAGCTCCAAAACCGGATCTCGACGCCAGAGCGAAAAAAAGACGATTTTGAAGCACTTTTTAAAAGGATTTTTAGAAGGAAAATCACTAGCGCCAAAATGGAGAAAATCTGCTGACAAAATCACTGTGGCAGCCTTCATGCAGCCACTCCTGTACGATTTACGAGATCCAGCTGCAAAAGACAATAGTATTACCAATGCAGCCACAGCACGAAGCAACCTTGACGCAGCCATTTACACTGCGGGAACGATCCTACAGTTGCAAAGCACAACGGACTTCCATCGGCAACTCATCCACCAGCACCACTTGCAATCCCATTTACAGTGAGGGAACGATCCTAGAGTTGCAAATCACAATGGAATTCCATCGGCAACTCATCCACCAGCACCACTTGCAACCCCATTTACAATGCGGGAACGATTCTACAGTTGCAAATCACAATGGAATTCTGTCGACCACACATGCACGAAAAACAGTTGAAACCCCATTTACAATGCGGAACCGATCCGACCATGATCCGAGAATATCCGAGAATGATCCGACCACACACGAGACCGTCTCGCACCCGTCGCACCGCAGAGGTAGATCATCGACGTTCGGGGACGCACTTTGCCTGGAAAAACACAGGGTTTCGTGCATCTGCTATCTCTCAAAAACGCATTTCGTGCGAGACTTCCTTCAAAACTCCATCGGCAACTCCTCCACCAGCACCACTTGCAATGCCATTTGCATTGCGGGAACGATCCTGCAGTTGCAAATCACAATGGAATTCCATCGGCAACTCATCCACCAGCACCACTTGCAATCCCATTTACATTGCGGGAACGATCCTACAGTTGCAAATCACAATGGAATTCTGTCGCCCACACATGCACGAAAAACAGTTGACACCCCATTTACAATGCGGAACCGATCCGAGCATGATCCGAGGATGATCCGAGGATGATCCGACCACGCACGAGACCGTCTCGCACCCGTCGCACAGCAGAGGTAGATCAGCGACGTTCGGGGACGCACATTGTATGGAAAACATAGGCTTTCGTGCATCTGCTATCTCTCAAAAACGCATTTCGTGCGAGACTTCCTCCAAAACTCCATCGGCAACTCCTCCACCAGCACCACTTGCAATGCCATTTACAGTGAGGGAACGATCCTAGAGTTGCAAATCACAATGGAATTCCATCAGCAACTCATCCACCAGCACCCCTTGCAACCCCATTTACAATGCGGGAACGATCCTACAGTTGCAAATCACAATGGAATTCTGTCGACCACACATGCACGAAAAACAGTTGAAACCCCATTTACAATGCGGAACCGATCCGAGACCAATCCGAGGATGATCCGAGGATGATCCGACCACACACGAGACCGTCTCGCACCCGTCGCACCGCAGAGGTAGATCATCGAGGTTCGGGGACGAACTTTGTATGGAAAAACATAGGGTTTCGTGCATCTGCTATCTCTCAAAAACGCATTTCGTGCGAGACTTCCTCCACAACTCCATCGGCAACTCCTCCACCACTTGCAATCCCATTTACAGTGAGGGAACAATTTCTTTGCTAACTCTTTCTGTGACTAACTCTTTTCCTCACTAACTCTTTCTTTGACTAACTTGTTTCTTTGCTAACTCTTTCTTTGACTACCTCATATATCCTGACTAACTCTTTCTTTGACTAACTCTTTCCCTCACTAACGCTTTCTTTGACTGACTCTTTCCCTCACTAACTCTTTCTTTGACTAACTCTTTCCCTCACTAACTCTTTCTTTGACTAACTCTTTCCCTGACTAACTGTTTCTTTGACTAACTCTTTCTTTGACTAACTCTTTCCCTGACGAACTCTTTCTTTGCTAACTCTTTCTGTGACGAACTCTTTCTTTGACTAACTCTTTCCCTGACTAACTGTTTCTTTGCTAACTCTTTCTGTGACTAACTCTTTCCCTCACTACCTCTTTCTTTGACTAACCCTTTCCCTGACTAACTGTTTCTTTGCTAACTCTTTCCCTGACTAACTCTTTCCCTGACTAACTACTCTTTCTTTGACTAACTCTTTCCCTCACTAACTCTTTCTTTGACTAACTCTTTCCCTAACTAACTGTTTCTTTGCTAACTCTTTCTTTGACTAACTCTTTCCCTCACTAACTCTTTCTTTGACTAACTCTTTCCCTGACTAACTGTTTCTTTGCTAACTCTTTCTTTGACTAACTCTTTCCCTCACTATCTCTTTCTTTGACTAACTCTTTCGCTGACTAACTCTTTCTTTGACTAACTCTTTCCCTGACTAACTGTTTCTTTGACTAACTCTTTCTTTGACTAACTCTTTCCCTCACTAACTCTTTCTTTGACTAACTCTTTCCCTGACTAACTGTTTCTTTGCTAACTCTTTCTTTGACTAACTCTTTCTTTGACTAACTCTTTCCCTCACTAACTCTTTCTTTGACTAACTCTTTCCCTGACGAACTCTTTCTTTGACTAACTCTTTCCCTCACTAACTCTTTCTTTGACTAACTCTTTCCCTCACTAACTCTTTCTTTGACTAACTCTTTCCCTGACGAACTCTTTCTTTGCTAACTCTTTCTTTGACTAACTCTTTCCCTGACATTCTAAAAGTCCGTAACACGGAAGTTTCTCCCCCTAAACTTCCTTTGAACATAACAAACAAAGATATGTTCTACGCGCTTCCAATGCCGGTATTTCTCAGAGTCTGTGGAATTTGGGAAAACAGGATAATTTTCCCGCAAAATGTCAAGTTGCTTTCATCAGTGTGCCGTGCATGGAGGCTGTTGTGACCAAAAGTTGACACATCTTCGAGCAAGCCTTGATGAATGATAGGTCGTTGGCATGTTGCTGCTGTTGCTGCTGCTGGTGTTGTTGTTGTTGTTGTTGCTGTTGCTGCTGCTGCTGCTGCTGCTGCAACTGCTGCTGCTGCTGCTGTTGTTGTTGTTGTTGTCGTTGTCGTTGTTGTTGTTGTTGGTTTTGTTGGTTTTGTTGTTTTAGCCATGAATGAAGTTGATATTACATGAATCACCAATTTTCACCATCACCATTCAAGGTTATATATAATTTGATCTGCCAAAAAAATGACAGGAAGTTGGCAGCGTGCTCCTCTTCCTTCTACCTGCCATGGGTGGGGGTACCTGAAACAGCACCTGTTTCGCCGGGAAAAAAGACATCTTTGACACGGGATGAACACTCATGACTACTACCATCCCCTCCAATTGGTATAGACCCTGCCAAGAGTTGAGGGATGGAAGACGACTTACTTTTCCTCTAAAAATGGGCTATTCCATCAATAACAATTGATAACCCTCAATATCCATGCACCATTTCAGACAAAAGGGTAGCATGGATTCAGACCCCTAGACGCAAAGGTTACCTGGGCGTTGTCAACGCCTTGTCTTCTGGTGTGGAGGATGAAGTAATGTCAGCCTTTTGACAAACTGCCCTCGAAGCTTATCTTTCTTTATACGGTTACATACGATTACATACATGTACAAAAGCATAAACATACATGTGTATATATATACACATATGTACACATGCAAGTACATGTTACATATCCATATCACTGTAATATTACTCTATATGTAGTTGGACATGTAGTTACGCGATTGTATTACCACCCCTGTATTTCACTTGACTAAGATTACACACATGAAAATTATCAGGAATTGCTGGCCTTATACGGACATGCAGCCAGGCAATGCTTGATTCCATGTGATGCATGAACCTGTCAAAGAGCAAAATACGCTGTGAAACGCAGTACAAAATGAAGTTTCACGGTTTGGACTTTATCAAACATTGCTCGTCTCTGTGGAGATCACAAGGGTTCTTTACTTGAGGCATACATCCTATATAGATATAATCACATAGACATCACGATGTCACAAAAATGAATAAGCACAAAAAAAACAATATGCATGTTCACAAGGTAACATCCTGAAGAAACAGTTTTGTATGGTATTTACTGTGTGTTTCTTATGCACATGGAATTGGGGGGGTGGTAATGCAATCGGGCGCCTATGTATATATATTTCTTGATAGATACATAACTCTAGTTCAGGTCCGTTTATTGTTATGAGGTTGACATGATGATAGATGATAGTGTGCTTCATAATTGGAAACCCAAACTCCCATTTTGTTTCGCAAACTGATGTGAAATGTGCGATGGCTAAACCCCTATGCATACATGGGATAACCGATAACCCCAGCAATTGGGGAATAAATCAACCAATCACCAGGGCAATTATATCAAGTTACTTATTGGGATGATCGTTCACGGCTTGGTTGTGTTTGGTTGTGGTTCATAAACCTTTGCTCCTCCATGGTCCTCCAATAATTGCCCCCCACACTTGTGAAATATGTTGCTATCTCATGAATGTATCAATATGATCGTTTGTACTTGTATATACTTGTATGTCAACCTATACATGCACTTAACGCACTACAACAAACATACAAACACATAGTATATATAACAATACAATACATGAAAGAGGTTCAGTGTATATATATACATGATATAAGATCTCATTTAAATAATCATAGATAATCATAGATAATCATAGATAATCATAGATAATCATAGATAATCATGGATAATCATGGATAATCATATGGATAATCATATGGATAATATAATATGCTAGAGATGGACCTCACTCCATCGCCCCAGGCGTGGTGGAATCCATCGACCACTTCGACGGTTTCGCCTTGGTCAACATGGCCATACGTCGAGCCATCGAAGGTCGTAAGGAGAACATCTTGAGCCCCAGCCCTTGAAGTTCCCTCGGGGAAAAAACTGTATACTTATAACTTTTAACTATACTTATATTGGGTTTATATCTGATTTTTCGAAGGAAGTTTAGAAGTCAAACTTCCGACAATACGGACAGATGAAAGAGGTGGGAAGAGGCAGAGAAGAGGAGAAGTCAGAAGAGAAACAGTCAGTAGAAAGAAGATCCAGTACGAAGAAGATCAAGGTGCACGAAAAGGTAGAAAAGTCGCGGAACAATGTGTTGTTCCAATGTTTTGTGGCTCCGGAAAGACGAAAAGTAGGCTCGCTAAAGCCGCTAAAGCTGCGGGTGCGTAGCCATCTGAGATGGCAGATGTGAGATCAAGAAGTGCACGCCCCTGTGGAAGTCAAAATGCTACAAACACCACACCTTCGGACCACTTTGACATGGAGAGAGAGGGGGAAAGAGAGAGAGTTCCCCCTATAGTTTCCTAATGTTTCCTATCTCTTGAGATTTCCGCCACTGTCTTGCGCAGTACTACTCGTAACTAGATTTTTTCCCCACCTGCCAGGTGAGGGTTGTTAGATTTTATGTCAGTTGCCTCCTCCTGCCTCGTCCTCCTCCTCCTCCTCCTCCTCTCCTCCTCTCCTCCTCTCCTCTCCTCGTCTCCTCTCCTCTCCTCCTCTCCTCTCCTCCTCCTCCTGCTCAACCGCGACCCTCGACGCACAGTGTTGTCTGTCGGACCTCAACCACGACCATCCACGCCCAGTGTTCCCTGCCGGACCTCAACCACGACCATCACCGCCAGTGTTCCCTGCCGGACCTCAACCGCGGGTATCCCCGCCCAGTGTTCCCTGCCGGACCTCAACCACGACCATCCCGCCCAGTGTTCCCTGCCGGACCTCAACCACGACCATCCCCAGTGTTCCCTGCCGGACCTCAACCGCGAGTATCCACGCCAAAAGATATGCCACATAGAGTGCCAGAAGATATGCCAGATAGAATGTTAGAAGATATGCCAGATAGAATGTTAGAAGATATGCCAGATAGAATGCCAGAAGGTATGCCAGATAGAATGCCAGATAGAATGTCAGCTAGAATGCCAGAAGATATGCCAGATAAAGTGCCAGAATGTTTGCCAGATAGAATGCCAGCAGAATTGCCAGATAATATGCCAGAAGATATGCTAGATAGAATGCCAGATGGAATGCCAGAAGATTTGCCAGATAATATGCCAGAAGATATGCCAGATAGAATGCCAGATGGAATGCCAGAAGATATGCCAGAACATATGCCAGAAGATATGCCAGAAGATATGCCAGAACATCTGCCAGAAGATATGCCAGAACATCTGCCAGAGGATATGCCAGGTAGAATGCCAGAAGATATGCCAGATAGAATGCCAGATCGAATGCCAGAAAATATGTCAGATAGAATGCCAGAAGATTTGCCAGTAACAAAATGTATAAATGTCATGGTGGGGATCACACGAAGTAAAGTAATTTTCTTTTAAATGCTGAAATTTGGTGAACTATACTTTTCATGGATTTGTAACAAACCATTTAAGGAAAACTTAGTGAACTATAGGCTTCATTAGGGGGATATAAGCATAGTTGATGGAATTATAAACCGACCTAAAACTGTGGGGGCCTCACCTCGTAGGAAATAAACCTGATTTTACGGCAAGAATAACAATATACATCCTATTTGGGTTTAGTCTATGCAATGGAATCCATTTGGACTTTTTGGGCATCAATTAACTGGGGGTAGAATTGGGATATCTGGATAAAATGAAAAATAACAACTATATCACTATATCCCAGGATATAAACAATAAAACGGACCAACCATGATGGAGATATACGGGGATATAAGAATGTCATGCATTTGTTTGCTGAGGATCTGATGTGGATTTTTTTACGACCTGACCATACATGATACTTGGCAACGGAATTCTCCCCAATTTTGTACTGTGATTCCTATGTATTGTTTCACATTCCAAGACTATTCTAGCAACATTTTCGGAATGTCCAAGCGGGAGACATAAGAGATCTATGTTTGGCTGCGCGGCAGGACCGGTTGATGCCAATCATTTGCATCCTTACCTTTTTCTTGAGCTCAGTATCCCTGGCAGATTTGGTGCGAAGATATCGAAGATAGCTGTGGTGGTGAGCAAAAAATATGAAGTGTTTGCTTGTAGTCTACTAGAGGATTGCTCAGTCTGAAGCACGTTCAAGATCATAAGATCATTCAATATGTATGTTGCAGCCGCAGGATCACCAGAGGTATATACATTGTCGAACGACCGACAATCGTGTTTTCTCATCTAATCTTAAAACTAAGGGGTGTGATTTCCCACAGAATCGCTTGAGGGGCTAAACCGCCACTCCGCTCCGCCGCTCTATTCTCATCTCAGCACCGTTCCTTGGAAATTGTCGTTCCACATGAACTCTTGCAAAACATAGCCGTTAACCCCCCATGATGTCACAACTGTAATATAATATCATATCATATCATATAACATAATATAATATAATATAATATAACATAACATAATATAATATAATATAACATAATATAATATAATATAACATAATATAATACAATATAAAATAATTATATATATATAGTTATATATGTAGTTATATACAGTATATATGTGTACAAATAGTATTATGTGTGTGTGTGTTCGGCAACCACTAGCTTTTGCAATGATCCTTGGGGTGAAAATCACAAAACAAGAAACCATTTTTCTGGGATTTACATCGTGGACAAGAGCCCTATATTTCGTATCAAATTCGCCGGGTATTCGGATCCTGGAAGTTGGTGGTGAATGAATGCTGTAGCCACTTTCCAACGGATCCAGGATCCAAATGTGTTTCCAAGAATTGGTTGAAAGTTGAAGGGAAGATCTGCTAAAAGAACATTTATCTTGATCGGAAAAAACTACCCTCTGATAATTTAACATAGCTATTGAAAATGGCCATAGAGATAGATGATTTACCTATTAAAGATGGTGGATCTGTCCATATGTCTTGTAAGTTTACCAGAGGGTATATGTAGGTAAAACAATAATAAACCATCCCCCAAATCACCATAGGAAGAGGATGATATATAATGGTACCCCTATAATAAAACACATTTATTTTGATGGGAAAAAACTATGGGTTTCTCGTTTGCTGTATCCTTTAAACTCCAATGAAGACGCTGCCAGATCATTGACAATCTCACCTCGACCATTGTCGCCGTAAAGATCTTGCGGCGCCTGGCTCCAGAGAACCAGGTTGGGCAGCTGGGCAGTGGCGAAACCAGCTGGATGGTTAGTTTAGGACTATAAAAGACTATAAATGCATATAAACCCAACTGTAAACCCAGCTATTTACCTTGTATGTTCTTACAAAAAGAATGCCAAATCTCTAAGATTGGCTCTGTATTCTTGGGAACTGTCTGAAGCCGAGCATCTTCCCGAATAATTAGTCTGTTGTTCCAAAGTGTCATCATCCTATTTGGGAAGATGATTCCAAGTGACTCATATCTTTTCTCTGAAGGGGAGGAGTGTAGAAGTCACCAACCCCCGCATGTTTGCGATGTTTGTTTCCTGCCTTTGGATCACCACTTTTTCAACCCCAGGAATGTTGTGGTTGATTCATTAATCTCCTCGCAGAGCAAAAATGATGGTGTTAAATTTAAGTCTTTAATGGTTCAAAGCAGTTGGGAAAAGCGGGAAACCAGCTGGTTTGCTTGGCTTGGCGGCTTCAGATATCTTCAGCCAGGAGTATCGTCAGCTGTGTGGTGGTCTTGCAGTCATTGCTGCCAACGCTGGAGGCTGGGCGTTCAATTCCGTTGAACGGAGGGGAAGGGTCATGAAGGGCTACTTCCTAGCCATGGCAATTTTGGGTGCATTTTGGAATTTACCAATATACGCTATGTTTGATGGTGCAGCGATGCCCACAGTGGTGTTACATCCCATTCTGTTCCCTCGATTTGGGTCTTGTTTCACCGTCAGCCCTTTCTCCCAGAATTGGTTGGAAGCCGATCAAACTCCATGTCATGTGTTTCCTCTTTGACACTTTTCCCTCAGAAACGCCAAAGTCATTGACTTGCCCCATATGTTCAGTTCCATGGTGCTGGTATACTTATGTTTACCATCGATTACCTACATCACTGGCGGATTTTTAAAGGCTCAACCATTGAAAATAGGCCTTTGTGCCCCTTTGGCTGAAATTTATGGCAGAAAAAAAAGAATTTGATGGTTGGTGTATGTGCTTGTCATCGTTGTTTCCTGTATGGGGTGTTCTTGAAATGGGGGATCCCCAAGTCACCATAGGTTTCAATACTAAGTCATGGTCATCCATGACTTGGATGAGAACTGGGGGTACCCCCATGACTTAGGAAACCTTCACATTATGAATCAAAGGGGGTATAAGTTGTATTACCATATATATATAAATGCTAGATAAACAATCATCATCATCAACATACATAAACCATAAACCATCAACCGAAACCACCTTAGGTTATATATACCCAGATGCTCCATGTATGGAATATTTACCAACATTTGGGCAATGTTTGGGTAAATGTAGGCAAATATTCCATACATGGAGCATCTGGGATATAAATATACATATTATACTAGTACGTACTAATATATCAGATGCACTAGTACGTATTATACATGTACTTTTATACTATTATAATCTATTATACTATTTTACTAATATACTATTAATCTATGATACTATTGTACTATTTCACACAGACCCCGAGGTTTGCCCAAACCCAGAATAGCGTAAATTGTAAATACCAGGGAATTCTGTATGGCGTCAAACAACGGGAAGGATTTGATGTTCAGTCATGTCGCTAGGGTGTTAAACAGAACATGTTGCATCTACATATCATATAACCAGATCATGTTGCTTGTACATATCATATAGAATTAACCATACAGTCATTAGGGTTTCTTATAGGGTTTCAAGGAGATATCAAAGTCCCCCGCCCCCAAGGAGCAATTAACAATGCAATCATTAGGGCTTCCTATAGGGTTTCAAGAAGATTTCAAAATCCCCCCGCCCCATGGAACAATTAACCATGCAGTCATTAGGGTTTCTTATAGGGTTTCAAGGAGATATCAAAGCCCCCCGCCCCAAGGAGCAATTAACAATGCAATCATTAGGGCTTCCTATAGGGTTTCAAGAAGATTTCAAAATCCCCCCGCCCCATGGAACAATTAACCATGCAGTCATTAGGGTTTCTTATAGAGTTTCAAGGAGATATCAAAGTCCCCCGCCCCCAAGGAGCAATTAACAATGCAATCATTAGGGTTTCCTATAGGGTTTCAAGAAGATTTCACAATCCCCGGCCCCATGCATGGAACCAGTAACCATGCAGTCATTAGTGTTTCTCATAGGGTTTCAAGAAGATATAAAAGTCCCTCGCCCCCATGGAACAATTAATAATGCAATCATCATCATCATCATCATCATCATCATCATCATCATTGTCATCATCATCATCATTGTCATCGTCATCGTCATCGTCATCTTCATCATCATCATCATCGTCATCTTGGCTTGCCCGGGCGCTCATTGCGAGTCCGGGCAAACCTCAGGCTATTGCCGTACTATTATACTATTATACTATTTCACTATTTTACTATGTTACTATTTTACTGCTTTACTATTTTATTAGTACATATTACTACTATAAGTACGTAGTAGTACTAATTCTGGCGTAGCTTGGCGTTCCTCCAGGTGCCTGGAGTCCCATCGGAGACGTGACGACCACCATGCTGTGGATCTCGCGGGGCGTCCCGGGGAGTCATTTGATCTCATGGTCCATGGTTAATAGATCTGGGTAAATTATAACGACCTCACTGTTCTCCCTCACTGGAAATCATGGTTAGTAAGGGAAATCATCCCCAAATGGCCGCAAGATTCAGGTTAGTGAATTATTATAATTTGCCCAGATAGATGTTAATCATGGTTAATAATGGTCAATGATTATACAGTTATACATGATTATAAATTGTCAATATCTAATGGTCAACGGCGAGTTGTGGTTAATTCTATGGTTAAAGGCGGTTGATAATGGTGAATAATGGTGAATAATGGTGAAACATGGTGAATAATGGCTAGTAATGGGTATATAACCAACAATAACCAACAAAAATGAACAGAATGGATAGAGTGGAACCAAATAGTGGGTCTGATGTGGGAAAACAACAAACTTTCCATTTGGGAAAAGTTTATATCACCAACCCACTTGTGGTGATTCTGGGGATGGTTTACTATTGGGTTTGCCACACTATCGGGAAAGTGTCCTATTTTTTTGTTGGTCATTCAGCAGATCCAAGCTATGAACAACACCATTGTTTATTTTCCAGGTCTTAAAAATAGTAATAGCCCTTTGTAACAAAACATGGTGTTACGATTGTCAGCTGTTGCATGTTGAACCGTACCCCACATATGACATGACCCAGTGGTACCCCATCATGTTTTGATCCACTGGGTTGAAATTTGTTGATGAGCACCCAGTTGTTGGCTTGAGAGCTGTCAAAAAACCAACAGATGGCTGAAAACCTTAAGAAAGCCTTTGGTATAGTCAAACATGGCAGTGGAGAGCCCTCCATTTCGATGATTTTTCATGATTTTTCCATCTAAGTGCCCATTTTGTCTCTGTTCAGAAATTTGCCAGGCAATCTGCTCAGGTGATGCATATCAGGATCTGGTAGAGCTGACCAGTGAGATCTGTATGAAGCTGATTTGAAGACGCACCAGTTTTACATCTCTGAGATTCAACAGCCCCCCGCAAAACTGTTTGTAGAGATAACTTTCCTGTTAGATTTCGAAATTTTTTGAGGGTTGTCAATAACTGTTAACCCTACCGATTAGTTTAATCCAATGGATCCACTTTGATGTTTGGTCCGTCGCAGCAGGGATCGAATTTCTGCCACGAAAACGGTGCTATGGCTCTTCTTCCCGCAGGGCAGCCAATCTCTCTGGGGATGGGTCGAGACTGGTCAGAGTCAAAACCAATGACTGTCTAACTGCTTGCCGGGTTTCGAATGGTTATGTTTTTCTTTAACCATACAAACATTTATTGTGTCATGTTTTTTCAACATCATCTGGTTGGGGGGTTTACATGTCGATTTAACATTTTTTTCAGCCATACAAAAGGGATTGGTTGATATGACGAGCATACTGTTGGAATGTATTGCTGGGATCCATTTGCCGATCATCACCAGGATAGCCGGGTTTTGATCATGTCGCAATACTATAACCTTTAGTTCGATGATTTACCAAGATTTATATACCGTATGATTCTATACTGGTGATGTTCCAGTTCGCAGACTGCGATGATTTTGCTGTTTTTTTTTGATCTAGATATATACAGTAGCTGTATCTAGCTGTTGGTCATGGTTGGTCATTACCAGAGAGTCCCTTGTTTCAGTATGTAGCGGAATGCAGTGTCCTGGCAGGTCCTCTATACCATGGGATACCCCAAAATTTGCCTTCCAATGGGTGAAACATTGTGAAATATTATGAAATATTAATATGATGATAAACTATTTAGGATGTTCTTTCTCAATTCTAAGCCCCAATCTGTTGCATGACGTTATTTTTCATTTATCAGATGTTATAATAGCAATCAAGGCGCAACTAGCATGAGCAAAAAGAAATGGGGTCGATGAACCTCGACACCATTCCCAGTGCTGCCGGAAGGAGTTGGTTAAATCCTCATTAAATTTTCAAACATAGCCTTAAAGGATCTTCAAGGTGGAAGATGAAGTAAGGTTCCCACGGTTTCCCCAGATTTCTGGGGCTCGGGGCCGTCGCCGTCCAAGTCTTGGGAGATTTCAGATCGAATTTGGGGTACCGTACTTCTGGACAAAGCCACGTCCATGAATTCGTATTCCTTGATTTCAACACAAGAATGATTCAGAATGATGCTAGTTGCCAATAGTTGCCAATGATTTAAAATTAGGCCCTCCTCAAACTGAGTTGTGCTGTGGCGAAGAACTCTTGACAATTGCTGGCACAAACTCGCGAGCTGCAAAACAGGCTCACCCCAACAAGTGACACGCCGCGATAATTGCACGACACTTGATCAATGTCAATTAAGGGTTTTAAGGATTGACATCGCCAAGCACGGGTTGTGGGATATCACCACTTTGGTTACCAAGCATTTCAGGTTGGTGAACCATCCTCAAGCATAGAATCGGTGATGCCCCGTTGGTTTCGCCGTTGGTTTCGTGGGATCACCTGTGCAAAGTGGAACGGTGAACAGTCACCGTGACCGGTGAAGACATGGCAATTGGGTGAAGATATTGGAAGATATTGGAAGATCCCCCCTGAGTTCAATGAATTTTCCCAGGTCCTTGGTGGCAGGCGTTCTGCCCCTCTGGTTCTTAAGGCGCGCCGGACTGGAATCATGATGATTATGTAGGACTAACAGCTGGGCCCGAGTTTGACCCATAGCCATTGGAGTTGAAGAAACAATCATCATTTGGAAACATGGGAACATCCTGTTTACCATTGTTTACCCATTTAGTTTGACACATTTCCATTGTTCAAATCATGAAAAGCATCACAGTCATGGCAACCTGAATGATGGTTTATGGTGAAATTTGATGGTGTCCAAATGAAGATGCATAATCCACTAGTACCCAAATCATTATATGGAAACTCCGAGAAAGATCGCCTGATGGATGTCCTGGGACCTGAAATCAGCACAGATCATGGTCCAGGACTGGGATTCTGGTGCAAAAAATAATGAGTTCCCCATGAAACTGATCGTTTGATGGCTATGAACCGTGCTCATGGATCGCCCCAAAAAATGATCCGGTCATCCGGTCCCTTGGATACCTTGGATACCTTGGATCAGGTGTCGGGCTAGGCGCTTGGACTCCCAAACTCACAAGGAGTCCCAAAGGCACAAGGCCAAGGCCGATCGGGTCTCAGGGATGATGGAGAACGGCAGAAAATGAGCTGCTGCTGGTGCGGATTGTTTTTTTTTGGGGGGTGGTCATGTTCATGCAATTTTCACAAAAAGGTCTGTCTTGTGGGGGATCTTAGTCTTTTTTAGTTGTTTTTTTTTGTGAATGTTCTATGAAAATCGCGTGAGTCGTGGTTTGGCGCTCACTGTTGCCATTGGCATTGCATTGAAAGTTGGTCCACCGCCTGGGTCGGTGGTCGTTTCCCGGCAGGATTTATTGATGACAGAATCTGCACCCAAATTGGAGAATTTATCCTATTTGTCATCAATAATATCCAATTTGACTTGATTCAATAATCCTGATGATCATGTTTGCTCAAATTGTGCAAGTCAAACATAGTCAAACTCTCCTAAGATTCCGAAAAGAATGTGTCTACCTTGTGAATATGGGCTCAACGCCAGGACAAGAAGGGGCCAAATTGGGAACAGGTGCGGCATGGGCAACCACTGGCTGTGGTCTATGTTGGAGAAACTTTGACTCCACCCTGTCCTAGCCGCGTTTGGGAGCAGTTTCGAGAACTATGTGTGTATATATAATTATATATATATATATATTGAAAAGGAATCCAAGTGAAGTTCCATGAAATGCCTGTTGATGCCGATGGGCAATGGTCGACATGGGTCGGGCAAACTGCGCAGTGCAGAAGGGTAAGCGTGATGAATATGATGAACCCATCATAGATTTGATGTATTGATGGAATGCCTACTGGTGTTTGATACTCTGAAAGCAGTTCGGGGCACAGTTGGTGCATGGAACGTTGTGGAATGGAGCAGAGGCAGTTTTCATGAACAATTTTCCGCAATACTCCATGCAAATCGATGCAAGAATGGAAGCACCCTGCAGTGACCTAAGGTGCAACCTAAAGTCATTATATAAAGTCAGTTGTGTGCGTATGCCTATCTGCCATGCTTGACTCTTCAGGGGGTTAAACAGGATCACCAAAAAAACGGTACTCGTACCACTTCTGGTTGATTGGTTCAGCCATCATGGTCTTGCAGGCTTCAGACAAGATCTGTGTGTTTCCTACTTGGTGGTCGGGTTTTGGATGGAAAAGATATCATTAACATGTGAAACATATGGTAGATGTAATTAGATACATTACTTATAAGTTAATTAGATAGGGGTACATCTCAAACCACACCAATTTAGGTTTGTTCAATAGATGGTTCAGGGATGTTCAGGATACCCCGCACCTTGATCCTGGGAAATACCGAATTGGATCTACTTGACCTCCATTTTTGCCACTCAAACATGGCGGGCCGCTGGGAAATCCCCGAACTCAATGGGCATTTAGTTCATGGGGAAAAATGGGAAAATCATCGAACTAACTGCATCTACATGTGGTAAAAATTGTGCCTCGAGACTGTCAGGAACCCCTGAAAGAGGACATTGACGCCGAGGAGAAGGAACCAATCACTCGAAAAAAGGCCGATGGCACCAGATTGGGGGACAACCAATGGTCCCAAGATCTGGTCATTTCTATGGTATTTATTTAGATTTAAATGGATCTGTGAATTTATGGAACCTCAGAGGTTATGTTTGACGACGCCCTGAATCGGATCTAGGAGCTCTACTCGTGCCGTGAGGAGTTGAATACCGCAACATGATCGGTCCGAATCGGTCATTCAGCCAGATGTCATAGACATTATATTGGAATCCTGTTGTCAGGGATACCACGGGATACCTTTCATTGATGGATCAAGTGTCCCATCATCAGCCAGCACATAATACGGCATGGGCCGCAATTGAGAACCAACAAAAAGAGAATGGGACTGGTTGGTTTTTGAAACCTCGATTTCCCAACCCATCCCGCCCCCATAGAAGTAGATAGAAGGGGGATGAAACCAACAGGGTGTGGAAGGACCATCATCCCACTTAGTAATTATTTTGGCTTGGAGGGAAACTAATATTACCCATGTATAATTTCAATAATGTTGGTAAAACAATCATAAACCATGCCCCAATCACCATAAGTACGGGCTATAGACCATTCCCAAATGGGTGGTTTATTATTCTTTTACCCACATTAACCCATGAATGCGGACTTACACCAGGTGGTATAAATTCACCATGATTCCGGTCAGATCACTGCGCTGATCTTTGGGGTGTTCTGCATCCTCATGGCGCGGCCGGTGAAGGGCTGGCAGGGTCAATCATATATCATATCTAATGCATTACATTGATATAATATCTACCATTGATCATTACATTGATATATATATATATATCATATATTAGATTGGTGAAAGTCATCACATTATCTAAATATGATATTATTGGACCAGTTATTAATTTTGAACTAACTTACTTGTCCAGGGGGTCCTTGCAATCATTTTCTTTGGTATAGTTTATGATATCCCCAAGTGGTGAAATTATGCAAATCGGGGATTGTTGTTTAGTGGTTTGCCACACTAGAGGCTGCCTCCAGCTACCTGGTTCGGGAGGAAGTAGTAGGTGAGAACCCCTCTGAACCAAATAGCAGTGTTGAATGCGGCCAAAATACCAGCGTGCCGCGCCATCTATTCAGACGCGTCCAAAGTGGTTCTGCGTTAGTTACTTTGTAACTAGTGCAGCTGAAGCCAAATCATCTGAACACCGATCTTGGGGTGTTGCATGTAATGTACGTACACATATATATATATATGTATACAAATCAAGTATCACATATATATATACATAGCATCATATCTATATTTCATGTGTACATATTTCATGCATGTATATATATATATCACATATTTATATGTTTCAGATATATAACGTATATGTATATCAGGATATACGTATGATATATATATATATATATGCATTCTATGCATATAACTATTTTGAGATATCATATTTCAGATATGTCATATTTATATACAATATGTATTTCATGTCTTTCATATTGTATGTATTCATTTGATATAGGCAATATATCTATATATCACATGTGTCTTTCACTTTCTTTTTCATATATGTATATATTGGTTTCCCCATGTAATGCTTATAACGTCAAATTCACAATCTGGGTTCCTGGGCGCTATTTCTGGGTTCCTGGGCACTAATTCTATGTTCTTTCATGGTTCTGGAACTCAAGTGCTGTGGAAATAGAATTTGACTTTTGCAATGTCCAAGTTTGGGTTCCTTTGACCATAAGGGGTTCGGCTATCAGATTCTTAACCCAGAACCGCCCAGGATTGCCCAGGACTTCCCAGGACTACCCAGACACTGCCAGACACTGCCCAGGTACTACCCAGGAATCCTGGAACAGTTATGCTAAGCATTGCAGAATTATAATGCTTATCGTAAGTGTCACCGAAACGGTTTGGCGTCTATAATGCTTGGCGCAACTGTCAGGTCGATTCCTGGGTAGTACCTGGGTACTAACTTCTGTCAGGATGTACTTCAACACTACCCACGAATCATCTCCAAGTTGTGACATGCATTAGACCGCGCTAGTGAGCTATCCCAAGCACCAGATGTCCTAGTTTTTGAGCGGTCAAGCACCAACTTTTTTGATCTCCAGCCCCTGACCGTGCGGATTTTTGCCATGTTATAAGCATTACGTGGGAAAAGCAGTGTATATACATATACACAGATGCAGTTTATCTATATATAGAGTAAATAAATAAAAATTATATAGTAATAATTATTATTATCATCAATAATTGCATAATATGTGATACCTGTATGTAAGCTTACATATGATTAAACAATATACTTATTTCCCTCCCGTTCCCAGAAGCGATCCACGCTGCGACGGAGCAGGTCAAATTCGAAAGGCCCGAACAGATGATGTCATCCGTCGTGCCCGATCCATCCATCAAAAGAAACATCCTTCATGCCTTTACATCTGTTGATGAACTCAGATGGAGGATCACTTTGCACATCACCGCAATCCATGCTGGTCATATCTGTACAAATACCAGTTGCCACCGCTTTACAAAGTGAAGGAGGATATTCTTTGAGCGGGGCAGTACGGTAATTTCCGCTAGAGTCTTTGCCAATGGAACTGCCATGCGGAAGGTGGCCTGAAAGACGATGTCGACGCAAGTCCATTTCCAGCGTCACCATGCCCAAAACTAAGAAAGTCGTGGGTTTGGGTGAAGGCGCACGAAATAAGCCCTGTGAGAGCGATATCAGTCGCATTCGTGGCAAAGCCAATAGCATCCTCAAAATTGGGGGACGCCAAATGCTAACATAATCAGGGTGTTCTGGATCCCGAGGATGTTCAAGAAGTCCAACACCTGTGCAGGTGGCCAGAGCAGCCATGCATTTAAAAGCAAACCCAAGTAGGAGTGTGCCCAGCATTACCTGGCGCAACTCACTGAGTCGCAAGGATGGCAAGCCCCATGGGGCATCAGGACTTCGTTCGGACGACCCTTGGGTCGTGAAACTCCCCAAGATCAATGTTTCTTGCTTTACTCCACGTATTGCAAGGACTGTCACAATGATGTGGTCTGGAAATTGTTCGGCCAAGGAGGTCTTATACCATTCATTGAAACCAAAAGGTGGGTTGGATTGCTAGTGGATTCCCACAACAAGGTTTTTGGCCACCAGCATCAGATTACAACATATTTTTTCAATTAAAAACAATTTTTCCCACATTCAATCATTTATTTGCTGGTATCTGAATTTATTTGACTTTATTTGAATTTATTTGCTTTGGGACCTCCCTGTAGTTACCAAGCAATACATAGCAATACATCATGTGACAAGCAAATGTGTTTTAAATCCTTTCATCATAGAAGCTCAACATTTGACAACACAAGGAAATATGATAACAGCTGACAGTTGGGCAGCAATTCTGCCGCTGGCCTCAGCAAAGTTGTTGTAAGGTTGCGTTAGTTTTATTTTGTTTTTTTCTTGTTTTTTTCCAGCAAATTTGAGATATTTTGAGAGATTTTGAGATTTTTTGAGATTTTCTATGGTCCAGAAAAATATGCAATACAGAACCCAGTCTCGCAAAACCACGTTTGAAAAACAACATTAGATACATTTTGAGACATTTTGAGATATTTGGAGATTTTTTGAGATTTTTTGAGATATTTTCAGATTTTGTGAGATTTTTTGATATTTTTTGAGATTTTTTTAAAATGTTTTTTTTCATATTTTTTCATTTTTTCATTTTTATTTTTTCAATTTTATTCATATATTTTCATATTTTTGATTAAAAAAACAATTGCCAATCCAGACCACTGCAGATCTAACCCACGTTTTGGTGTTGCTGAACCATTCAATATCTCCCCGTCTTCTCCGTCCAGCATAGGCGTGAAGCACAACTTTGTAGCGGCAAGGTTGACGCGGTATTGCTGGAATCGTATTCCAAGCACACGTGGGGCTTACAGCAAGATCAGCAAACCAGTTTTCCCATTCATCAAGACGCACTTTGGATAATGAGTCAGGCGGCTTCGAAGCTGCAAGACATGGCAAATTGTCAACCTTCAACAGGGAGTGGATACACGCAACGACCTGGTCAAATGAAACACTCAGTGGTTCAGCATCATCTTCAGTGAACGTATCCAAAAATTGATGCAAAGTATGGCAGCAAGTGGTCCAACATACAGGATGTTGTTGGATTTCAGCTTGCAACGCTGTCTGAAGATCTGCATCATCATCCAATTCCACCAAGCAGAGGTAGATGAGGTAGCTCCAAAACCTGAACATCATAGTCCACGAAATCTCTGCGCGCTCCAGCAGGCAGCTGCGGCCCTCAAATCATCCATCCATGTGGGTCCGAGAAATGGTATGAAAATTTCATCATCACCAGTGAAGGACGCTCTAAGCCAGGAATGTAAGTGAGTACCTCTGCCTCTACCAATTTGGATTCATATGTGCGCAGAAGCTTAGCCCAGAGTAGTCCGAAAACTACGTCTGCGTAGCTGTCCCCGGGGCAAGACCCCTGCTCTGTCCGCACTAAATCGCTTTGGTCACCGATGGTGAACCATGTGTCTGTGTGCAGTGCCTGCATGAACCGTTGTACATGAAAAGGTGCTCCAGCTCTTGCAATTGCCGATGGCTCTCGCAGCTGTTGGGCAAACTCATGTCAGATGAATATCCTAAATGGCATGCAATGTAAGCCAAATGCTCATCATCAAGATCTCCGCCTAGGGCAAGCACTCTTACAACACGATAAAACGCTTCTGTAAGATCCAAGAAGACAACTGATGCAGGGCATTTCAGTCTGTGTTGCCATCTCAAAAAGGCACGTGACATGTGAAGCGGTACTCCAACTGGCATGTGCGGGCGTCCACCCAACTGCTGTGACTGCATGAAATGGGTGTACAGTCCATGGTGTTTCTGGCGTAGCGCTCTATGTATAGTTTGCCCAGGTGGCTTGAGACTAAGAATGATCGATGTGAAGAACATTCAGCAGGGTCACCTTTGTGTTTCCATGCGATGGCCAAACGGCCCCCTTTATGTGCAATTGCTTCCTGTCCAAACAGGCAGCTTTTCAGCATGATGGAGTACGACAGCCGGGCAAGATCACATGCTTTATGCCGGCATAGCTCCGGGGGTATGCCGTCCATGCCGGCAGCCTTGCCGACAGAAACCCTGCGAAAGGCAGTTTTTTTAAATAAACTAATCTCGGCAGTTCATGGATCGGTACATGAAGAGTCTCAATGTTCAAAAACTTGGCTAAATTGGTCAGCCATGTTCGTCTGAATTCTTCATGTGTCAGCCTCTGTCCGCCCTCCATATGTTGAAAAAATTCTATCCATCTCTGTTGGGCAGCTGGGGGAGTGCCGCAAACTTTGCGGGCAGCGTCTTTCACAAATGGAAGACATGCACGCTTAACTTTTTTGGGGTTAATCGGACCCAGAAAAGGCTTGAGACAATGCAAAATCATCCAAGCAGGCGCATTTTCGGTGAGAGCTGCAATTTCATCTTGCAATGCATGCGCTTTGGACTGTCGCAGGTGCCGCCGCAACCTGCGAGCGAATACAAGTATTGGCATTGCAATCTGATTTGGATGCACAAATTGGTGTGTTCGCATGCCTGGTGTTGCACAATGGTTTGAGCAGCTGTGGCCGGAAATTTCCAAAGATGAAAAGACAGGCGGAGCCTAGTGTTGGAACTAACAGTTGGAGCTTGCCGGATGCGTTTACGCAAAGCAAGTTTCTGGGCACGGAGCGCCCAAACTGCTCCATTGAGGCATCTTTTCTTTGGGGCTGCAGGATATACTGGACAGGCCAGGCATACTTGCTGCAACAGCTGCGTGTTGAGTTGTTGAGCTTGGGTCTCAATGTCTGTGGACCAAGATGCCGGCTTGATCTCAGCACAAGCAATACGGTTGCAATTGGGGCCAATGGCTGCACGATGGAAAGAAGCACCAGTGGCTCTTCTAGGCTCAGTTTCCGCAACTCCATGCCAGCATAATTCAAGACCGACCGCTTGGTGGTCCTCGTGTGCATTTCCTTGGTCAAAATCCTGAATGACACTTGAGTGTGCACAGGATGCGCTCCAATTCTGCGGCACCGCAACATAGTCAATGCGATGACGGTGCGTGCCATCTGGAGACGTCCATGTTGCCATTGCTCCGCTGTGCAATTGACTCGCACTTGGGAGACACAAACTTTGAGCTTGTAAATTCGATGAAGAACTCACTATTGGCAGAGCAAGTGTCATCACGCTCAAAGACAATTGATGCCCTTTGCGGTCCACTCTTTGCATTGGCATCAATCAAGACAACAAGAGGAATGTCCTTGCAATGGGCATGAGCGATCTCATGCGTTTCTTTCCACCAGGTCCTTCGTTCCCCAAGGGGTCTCCCCCTCTGTGGAGCATGCATGGAGAGAAAAAGGCACTGCAGGGCTGGGTGAACAATGCGGGCCAGCAAGCTGCGTGGATCAGCATGTACAATTTGTACCTGTGATTTCTTCAGGAATTGAGGTTTGTTGTTGGCGAAACCGATGGGTTGTGCAAGATTCACCCATATCTCAATGCCGTACTGACCACAGTGCGCCCTCCGTGCAAGTTTCAGGATGTCATCCACAGTGCTCAAGCCAGCGGGACTTCTTGTTTCCTGTAAACAAATGATGTTGAGCTTGAATGAGCGCATTTGCTCTCTGAGGTATTGAAGTTTGCCTGCGTATCCCTCCGGTCCCACAAAGAGAGATCCAACATTCAGAGTAGCCAGGCTCAAGGTAAATTGGGCGGGAGTCTTCCTGGTTGGCAATATGGCTGTGTCAAAATGAGGCTTTGTCAAAGGCAGCTTAGGCGGGGTGATATCAAACCCTGAACAAGTGAGGATGGGCAAACCTGCGTCACGATGTATTGCCATCCATAGAAAGGGCAGAAACGGAGCCCACCTTCTCAAATCAATCTGTTGTCTCTGCAGTTTGTGGCCCTGGGCTGCCTCCGTCTTGGCGAGATAATCTGCTAACTCATTCCACGCGTCCCCGGCATGGCCTGCCACATGTTCCACAATCAATCCATCGTCAGTAAGGCCTGCAGAAAGTGTTTGAAAAACACCGCGAAGCAGAACGAATGAGCTAGTGCATCCAGAGGCCTGGCCTGCTGTGGTGCTACGGTAGGGATGTTAGAATTAAGACCGAGCCTCCAGGCTCCGGCCCAGAACAATCCGTCTCTTTCTGCAAATTCGGAGCCTATGGCGTCAGTGCCTACAAAATGGGGCAAAGAAGACCCGTACAAAACTGGTTGTGCATGCCACCCAATGAAGGTAATCGTCGACGTAGCTTCGCTGCACCCATATTTTTCGCCAAGGACAATAAATTTAAATGCCAGGCATCCGGTACACCATGGTCCTGCACCCACAATGGTGCTTTCCTTCTATTGGATGGTTTCGAGCTCCCATCGGTGTAAATGATCAAGGGATCGAAATCATGGATTGGCTGCTGGACTCCTTCAAGACCCGTCGCTTGACACAAGGCAGCACGTACAAAGTCTTGCACCTGCAAGTGGGAGTGCCAACTACAAAGCGTCGTCTCACCAGAGTGGAAAAACTGAATAATCTCAACAATATAATATATCATTAATGCTGATCATTAATTAGCTACTGTACAATATACCTTATGATCCCGGGATACCTTAAAGCTCAACAGGTACCTGGCCTGAAGATGGGCTGCGGCTTACCGCCGTCCGAGCCCCGGTGGTTATTGATGTGGTTAGCCTGGGGTAAACATACGAATGGCCTAGGATTTTCACATCTATGTTCGTGAAAACAGGATGGTATTGGATGTTCATCCCACATATATCCGAATGATGAGCACATATGGGATTTGATGAGCAAAACTGTGGATCATATACTTGATAAATGATGATGCATCAATGATGGGGAGGATGATGATTAAGGTTTTGATTGGTTATTGATTTTCATTGATGATTGGCTAAGTATTTGATATGGTTAATTTTTGGATGGATCTGGTTTAACGATGATTAAGCCCTCCAAATATGGATTTGATCAGCAAACGTATGGATATGATATAAACTGTTAGTGTAGTATAGTTGATACCTGTTGGATGATTGATTGTTATTTGTGTGTAACTATATATGTGCAACCCCCTCTCCAAGACCCACCTTTTCAGATGAAAAATGCCACAAAGGTAACATACACACCTGTATAAGTATATATAGCTAGAGATAACCTTCCAAAAAAGTAGAAAAGTAGACCAAAGTAAAGAACAAAACCAAAAAAAATAGAGCCCTTTACAGAAACCGTACTGTATCCCTACACAATTTTGAGCGTTCCCCTAAACATGCAGCGTTCCTTTCTGGAGAAGTGCAGTCTTCCTTTCAGACAGTTATATACTCAGCCTTGGTTCAATCATACTACTTCTTTCAAAACACCAGATTCCTAAACAATATGCAGTGTGTGATTAACATTCAGGATTGATGTGAAATAAAAAGTGCAATGGTCAATGCACATTGCAGCATACCTTGAAAAAGAAAGATTGTTGTTAAAGGAAAGTGCTGTTTACAGGTTACAATTTGTGTTGAAAATAAAATATTCCCTTAAATAAGAACCAATATTTTCCTAAGAAAACTATAAGTGTGGAAAGATGAACTACATCCTTTAATGGAGTTCAGCATCTTCTTGTACGACCATTGTTTAAGGAAAGACTTAATGTCTTCAAAATACGGGAATTGCCTTGAAGACGAGGTATCCCCTTAAGTAGCAGTATTCTTGCAGAAAAATACAATATTTCGACAGGTGTAATACATCCTTTAAAAAGTTCAGCCTCCCCCAATGTTTTTTTTCTGCATGACATGTGGCTTTACTGGAAATGTTTCATTTCTTCAAAATATATCATGTTAAGTGTTTTGCGCAGATGTTTCAACTGGATGGAAGGGCGTATTGCATATACAGTATATACATCCATGACCTGTTTCTTTCAAAAAACACTACATACACCCAAGGCTTCTACTTCATAGTAATGTTTTTTTCTATTTCATAGTAATGTTTCTTTGTATTATTGCATGTTTTTCAATCAAATGGTTCACTCCCGTGTGAAGGAAGTTTTGCACATACTTGCACCAAAACATTCTTTGAGGAATACCACAGATTAATCGCTTAAAATGATTACTCGAAGGATTCCATTCTGAAGTAATGCTATCATCCTTCCTGAAATCAATTGTATACCTCTTTAACAGAACTTTGCACAGCTCTAAGTCTTATTGAAAATAACTCAATGTCCCTTTCAAAGAAAGCTGCACTCCTTCATAACTTTGCACAGGTGTAAGTCTCATTGAAAATCACTTTATGTTCCTTTCAAAGAAAGCTGCACTCCTTTATAACTTTGCACACCTGCAAGTCTCATTGAAAATAACTTGATGTTCTTTTCAAGAAATGCCGCATCTCTTTAGAACTTTGCACAGCTGTACGTCTCTGTGAGAATAGTTGCATGTTTCTTCGAGAAATTTTGCATTTGTTTATAGCTTTGCTCAGCTGTAAGTCTCTTTGAAAATAATTCCATGTTCCTTACAAAGAAATGCTGTACTCCTTTATATAAGAGGACTATACAAAATGATGTCACTTTATGCAAGGAATGATGCAACTTTATCCAAGGAATGTCATATTCTTTGAAACTATCCTGCACAAGGCCTATATGGAGGATGTTTGCTTTGAAAGCAGTTTTTTTTCAAAGTACATGCTGAAACTTGTGTTCTTATTGTATTTTCAAGCCTTGCCTGTGTTGTATTTCTTCCCATTGATTTAAGTAACTTTTTGCGAGGGTTCTCAAACCATGAGAACACTAATAAAAAGCCTTGATTTTTTGTGGTGTTTCACCATTTCAATTCCATCGTTTTATCCAGAAAACCAATTAATGTCGAGTTATTTTGTTTTTTAGACGTGACGCCAAAAAAAAACGAGGTAAAACCAAGAATTTCAAACATGAGCTTCAGACCAACCATTCCCTGAAAAGTTATGTTTGATTGTTTTTTTGGTTTTCTCGAGGTTTTGGTTGTAATGCGTATCCCACATCCTTTAAGAGTAGCAGCAGTAGGTTCAGCAAGATATTGCATAATTGCAAATTGGATTGGTAAGCAAAGCACACACTTGCAAGTATGCAGATTGAATCCAAGTTTCTTTTATATAAAAGAAAAAAATAAAGAACACATAATGCGTTTTTTAAATACATTTTGTAAAAGGCAACAGTTGCTTAAACAAATACCCCAAATACCGATAAAAATTGCAAAAGGGTGGGTCTTGGGGCGTGGGGTACTATATATATATACATACATGTGTGTGTGAATGAATTCGAAGGGTACGTTTCCCAAAATAGCCTAATTGTTCAAGTTGTCAGGATCAAAAAAAAGACCAAAAAGTGCCCAAAATGACATCCAAAAAGCATCTTGTAAGTTGATCGTCTTTTTTTCCGGCCCTGGACCCACTGAACAAAGCCGTTTTTCGTTGTCAAGAGAAAGACCGATCGGAGCGCCCGTTGACCGTAAGAATACTGAGCTGAGGCGTCTCATGTGAGGTCTCAAAGTTATCCTCGGATATTTGTATAGTTTGGGTACCCATATATGTTTCAGAAGAAAATGAATGTTTCAGAAGAGATGATTTAGGAATATTTTGGAAGTTGTTTGAAATGTGGGACCCAAAATCATCCAACATTGTTCATTGTTGTGGGGGAAATAGAGCTTGACCATCCTATAATCTGGGGGTGGTTCAATCATAAAGGAGATTGCATATGTTGGACCTCCATATGACTGTTTTTAATACGTTGTTTCATTGTTGTCTAATATATACGTGTATATATATATAGCATGTATATACACATATAAACATATGAATCATGGTCCTTTCATGTTTGGTTGATTCTCAATCTCCCAAAAGGCCTAAACCAAACAAGTCTTGGGATCATGGTCATCGCCTAGGTATTTGGGCATGCTTTTAGCCTTGGGCCTTATGTGGCTCCTCACTGACGTTTTGCAGATGCAGGCAGCCAGAACCCCAACTGCAACCCTATGATCACCTCCCTTTTTGGGGACGGGACCCAGCATTGTGGAAGTGAGCAATGCCCCAATGCCCGTTGCTTGATGGATTGTTGGGTGTTTTTTTGGTGGATTGATCAACCACAACCTGCGTTGGAACGGTGGGAACCCCCAACAACATAATATGGGTTTGTCTTATACTATGGTATTTCAAATTCATGTTCCTATTGAAATTGCCATGTGGGGGTATACCGTATACCCATTGTATACCCCATTTTCAGACACACCTATATATATATCCATATCTATCAATCAAAGCCCGGGTACTCTGCTGTTCACATCAACAAAACCAGCGCTCATGGATGTCCATGATGTCCATCCCCTCATTTCATCTGTGAATATCGTAGGTTTTGACCTATTTGAAAATCAGGATATATCAGGATACACACATATATATATACACGGTAACGCCATTTAAGTTATGTGGAGGGCGGCCAGACCGTGAGGCCCCGGAGGTAGTATGAAATACTAGTTCGTATATTTAAATGTAGTTACCGTATGTTTAAATGAATTGGATTCCGTATGTTTAAGTGGCCGGGCGGGCCAAGGAAAACTTTCCTGGAGGTAGTCTAAAATACCTGTTGGTATATTTAAAAGTCCGTATATTTAAATGTAGTTACCGTATATATATATACATACAAATGTGTTTTTTTCCTAGAAAGTTGAGGATACCTTCATTTATGACCAAAAAAACTTGGAACACGATGTTTTCTTTGAGGGCTACCGGAGTTCCCATGAACTGCGCCGCAGGGCGCCCACGAAGAGGAGGTGGACAGTGAAGGCCGGGAGCACAACATTTGGAAAAATGGGATGGAATTTCAACATCATTGGTATATCTTGGTAGATTGAAGCTCTATTTCTTGGGGGCGTTATTCGAAAAGAATAGTAAGAGTAGACTTACAATGTACGAAGATGATGAGAAAGTAAGGAGTATAATCGTTTGTTTGGGGTTGGACACATGCACCCACTGAAGAGCTAGGTACCCCACAAAAATATGATATGGTTGATACTGAACATTCTGAGTGTCTGTGGATCGATGCAGCCTCCTCTGCCTGCGAGGTCAGATTGACTTGCGAGGACTCCATACATACCAATATATACCAGTTTTATCCCTCTTGCTTCAATTCAGTTGTACAGTTGTACTGTAGTAGAAACACGTTGGGCCACGAACTGCCACATTGGCAAACATGTCAAGATATGTCAACAGGATATGATTTCAGGGGATAATTTGTATACGTACAAAAGGATTTGACGATAAAGTAGCTGTAAAATTGGGGCAATCATGATTGCAAGATCAAAACATGTCAAAATCATGGCCATGTACTAACGTGGATGGTGTAATGTCCCACAAAAGCAACAGCCGTATTACTTGGCTAATATTGTTTTTGCACCGCAGAAAATAAGTGTTGGATCCCATGTTTCCTCGCTCCCAATGTTGTTTCGCTGATGTTGCAATCGTTGCAATCCTTTTTTGGTTGATTATATGCCCATGTTTACCTTATCCCCATGAGATGTTTCCTCAACAACTTCGGCAACCTGCTCCAAGAATCTAATCGACTGTTCGGACGACAGCATATAGTCAATGCATTCTGGTGTTGGGTAGCATTTGGCGGCAAAAAGTTATGAATTATGCTGGGAGTCACCGTAAATACCCATCGTTTCCAGTAGACTTTCCCCCTTTGCTGGTCAGCTGGTCATCCCAAAACCGGCTGCGCCGCACAGACCATGGTCCACCACAAGGCGGAGTTGTGAGTGCCATGAAGAAGGCACCCATTCGAAGCATTCGGATCTTGGGAGATGTTCTACACATGGGGTCATGGGGTGATATTACATGAGCTTCTGACAATATCATGGGATATACTATGTATATATATATATATGTATTATATTATATATATATATGTATAGTAGCATGAGTATATCCCCATAAAAAAATGGATAAATGGGGGTTTCAGGGCGTATATGTTTGTATGTTGCTTGTTATGATTTTGTGTTGGGGTTCAATGTTTCATCTTCGCCTTTGATGTTTTTTCAGGTGGGGTTTTAGGGGTAATTTTGTTGCTAAAATGATGTGTCAATGTTTGGTTCAGATGGGGGGATAATTGTTGAGACTGTTGGGGTTTTTGTTTGTGTTTGGGTGGTGATTACTTCATAATATATTTTGTTATGATATTATGAATTAATCATTTTCTGCTTTCCAGTTTCCTATTCCACCCCACCACCATTCAATAACTCTAATAGTTGAATATTTGGGTTAATTTCCTTCGTGTAGTTGTTTGATTGCTTTTGACAATGCAGTAGATAGTGATTCACAATCTTGCATTAATTTTGGAGTTCTTCAGAACATGAATATGCCAGATGGAGCCCTAAAGTTCATTCCTCCCTTGTTTTTGCCATGTTGGCTCGCTGTCCTCGAACATGGTCTTGAATATGGTCGGGGCACCCAGGATACCTCATAGCTGTCCAGTCCAGCGAGAGTTTGTGACAGAGCGCGCAGGTTCAACCAGAGTTTGAGGGAGAAGCATCTTGATTTGTGCAGCGCCAGTCCCGCGGTGTTTAGCGTCCTCAAGCCCCAACACGTTGCACTTAGCAGCCCGATATGATACCTTGCGGGGATGGCGCGGTGTCGTCACGCTTGGTCAGCGGCCATATTTGCGGCTTGGACCGCTTGTATGGCATCACACAGGGTCTTTATCTCACAGGTGGTCGTGTCAGCGACACCAGGAACTCGTTGTGAGAGAATTGGTTGTCGGGGCCGGCTTAGCCAATGGCTTAGCGAAAATTCGACAGGCATTGATTCGAGCACGAAACAGCTGATCAACATGTTACACCAAGCTGAAATTGAGATCAAGGACAAGGAGAAGGCCCTTGAGATCAAGGACAAGGAGAAGGAGAAGGCCCTTTTGAAGAAGGACCTGGCCCAGCTGGAGAAGGACCTTCACCGGATGACTGCAGAGAAGCCGTCGGCTTAGTGTTTTGGTGTCAATGACATGGAACTTTGCAATTAGCAATGGATCTACCCTCATTGAGCATTTGCACAACACAATATTCCCATTACTTTGTACAGTATTGTTGCGCCTAGCCAAGGCTACACGGGGAGGCACGGTACGCTTCCATCCTGTGCAACCGATTTTTGCTGGAAGAGGGTTTACTAAAACTATATCCAAAATTGTCCCTGACAGAAGGGTACAAAAAGTTTTCTCCAAATCTCCTCAAAGCTCAGAAGAAAGGAAGGCCCACTATGACACCAAGCGCAAAGCAGATTCTCCAAAACCTCACCCAAGTCTCCAGACATGCTGCTCAGCAACGTGATGTTGTGAAAGATCTCCAAGACCTTGTGCATGAGCTTTCCAAGGCCCCTAGCTCAGCTAGATTTGCAGAGAACCAACTTTCCTGTGACGTCTCTTGTCATCTCAGAACAGTAACGTGATGCTTGAATCCAAATCCCAAGGATATTCACTATCCAGAGCTCAAGAGGACAGGCTTTCTATGCGGTGGGAAACAACCGCTTGGTGCAGCAGTCGCAGTGGCGCTCTGTGAGCTACAGGTGGGAAAAATGCCGGGAAAATGCGACAGGTAGAGTAGTGTGCAACGCAGGTTTTCCCAGCTTTTGTGGGTTGGAGAGGGTGTGATTTTCCAAATTGTTGCAAGTGGTCACAGTTGCCAGGCAAAAAAGGCGCTTGACATGAACATTACATACGTGGATGGGAAGTTCAAAGAAGGTGCTTTGCTGAGTGCTGGCTTGGTGCTGCCGATAGTATAGAGAGGATGCAGAGAACTTCTTGTGCGCGGTGGAGAGCAAAAATGCGCTTGTCAGTGTTTGTTTGGCGGGGTTTGCAGAAACGAACCTCAACAGGCAGCCTGTTGCTTGACAGAAACTGCGGCTGAAAACGTGCACATGCTCTCCAACAGCACACCCACCCACATGTTCAAAGCGTATATACCTTTTCGCCGTTGAATTCACCACAATTAGCACACAGCATAGCCCAATGCCAAAACAGCATGCGCTTGGGCTCCAGCACATTTCCATTTTCAAGACCTTTCCTAAAACATGCTAAAGCCCAGCATCACATAAAATAGGCACTACCTCATCCTAAAATTGCACATGCTCACACAAAATAGGCAATACCTAATCCTAAACAGGGCACCCATACGCTGCAACAGCATATTTTTGCTCTGCTGCCCCCTCAGCATTTTGCCGCGCCGAGGCCAAGAAGTCATCAGTGACAATGTTTTCTGTACCGGTGCTTCCCATCAGTCGCAAACGTCACTTTGGTGAGAGGTTCAACCAAAGCTTTGAATGAAATGACAATTCCAAACAGTTTTCAAGTCTGAAATTCGAATGGATGAGCTCATGTTTCTTTGGATGGGGGGATCATTCCAAGCCCTTTGAATATATCATACATATCCGTTCATACCCCCACACATCCCGCATATACATTAATATCCAATGCCTTTTTCACCTCAATCAATTCATCCATACTTTTTTTCAAGCTTACATCAGGTCTCGCGGTGAGCTGGTTTTGACCTTTGAGAGGGATGAGAAAATCATCGTGAAACAAAAGGGAATAAAACACCGGGAGGGAGCCAACCGCTGTTTGTTGCGGAGGTTTCCAAGCATACCCCCACTTGGTGTTTGGCGGATAGATAGATAGATATATATATATATATACACACACATATATTTGGCCTATATTTTTTGATTGCTTCGCATCAACGCCGACTTCATCCATCAACGACGTGGTTGGAGTTCCAAACAACAAGCGCTGACAACACTGACATAAACATCTATGAGACATACTGACATAAAATCTACGAGACAACCGCAAGAACAGTATTTCAACAAGTGTCCTAAACTGGTTGTTTTTGACACCTTTTAACATCATTTAGGACACCCCATTTTTTCAACATAAAACCTTAAAATACTTAAAGACTAGTCGCCTTATATAATTAAGATTTGATATGCCCTGCTATTTAGTAATTGATGGAAAGAAACAAGAAATGGATGAAGACATGTTTGACCAGATGGTTGAAGCACTCCATCCACCAACAGTCCAAGAACCCCCAATCCAAACCTCGACAAGATGGCAACCCGACGGAACTTATGACAAGAAACCCAACGACCCAAAATACTTCTCAAAATACTATCAAAAGAAATTATCAACCCCTTTCACCTGCCCCGATTGCGGACGCACCATTTCGTCCAAATCCAATTTATCCAAACATCGTCAGACCAACATTTGTATGAGAAACAGATGCCAATGTTGAAAGGTGCTTTAAGACACCTTACGGCACATTTCATTCAAAGGGTTTTTTAATCCAAAATTTTCTCAATAACAATCATTTTTATTGAGAAGGTTTTTATGTTGAAGTCCAACCCCAAACCCAAAAACTCCAACAGGCAACCCATACCCAAAAACTACTTAAAGAAATGTTACCTTATATATTATAGAGAAAATGGCAGAGGATACAAGGTTGAAACATTCAACAGAAATGTTATATGTTAAAAACCAATCAGACAATCAATCCAATCAACCGCAACATCCTCAACAAACAATTCATACTGAAAAATTACTTAAAGAAACATCCACTAATAATAATATAGACTATACTATAATGGACACTTCACAGCAGATTGTTTTAGATTACCTTTTATCATCCGAACAGGGTGAGATATTGAAACGGAATGGACAGGAACTCAAGAAACTCAAGATCGGAGAGAAGACCTACAATTTTGAAAGGGGAAAACCCATTTCAAAAAGGTTGATTACCAAGTTCAACAAGATTAGACAGACAATGGACTACAAAAAGTATGAACTGAAAGAAAAGAGAGGCATTAGATGGGTCAATCTTGACAAAAACAAAGCACTCACAGGCATCCAAATGAGATACAAAGCAACCACCACCAACGAACAATCTGCTTTCAAGGGTTATGTCAATTCATTTGCCATCACCAATGTCAGGGTTAGAGGCATCAAGGCACTACAGTATCTCAAATACCAAGATTTAAGATTGAAAGAGTATTTGAGGAAACATAAGGGAATGAAAGTTATTTTACAGGTGTCCGCCACTATGAAGAGCAAGAAAACCAACGAAGAGATAAGGGAGAGTATCAGAAGTAGAAGATACAACATCACCAACGAAGAGGAAATACCCCAAAAGTTAAATCAAATGGCAACTGACATAGAGTTTCAGTTAGACAAGATGGAGATGTCGGAGAGTGGATTGGTGTTGAAGCATATTGATAAACTTAAATTCAACTATGACAAATACAATCCTACTCGTGGAGGTTCTTACATTGAACTACCTGAATGGTTGAAACTGAAACGAGCCTGTATCAACATTCAAAATACAGATGACAAATGTTTTATGTATTCCATTCAGTGCGGTGTTTGTAAAGTCTATGAGAAAGACCATCCAAACAGAATTTACAGATACAAAAATTTAAAGGATGACCTCAACTGGGATAATGTCAATTTTCCAGCATCAAATCTTGACATAGACATTTTAGAACAGAACAACGAAGGTAAAATATCCATCAATGTCTATTACATTGATGATGAAGATGGTAAGCAATCAATCCTATTATATAAGAGGACTACAGTTGTCAAAGCAACTCACCACATAGACCTATTGAAAATAACTGATGGGGACAATCACCACTATGTTTATATAAAGGATTTTAACAAGTTGATGTATCAACAGGCTGGTAAGCGGAAAGCAAAGAAATACATTTGTAATCACTGTTCGGGTGTGTTTCATTCAGAGGATGATTTGACTAATCATAAGGAAAAGGGATGTATGGCAGTAGAAGGGCAAACTATAGAGATGCCAAAGTTTGACCCAGAGAAGCCTGACAAGTTCTTCGTCAAATTCAAAAACCACTTTAAGAAACTAAAAGCACCATTCGTTATATATGCTGATTTTGAATGTTTGACCACGAAAACGGGAACGGTAAGCACCAAACCAATCAAGACAGACAAATACCAACATCATAGACCCTGTGGTTTTATGATAAATGTTGTCAATTCAATTGATGGTTCAAATGAACCGTTCTTGTATAGGGGTGAGGATTGTATGGATGTCTTTGTTAAAAAGATGATTGAAGTAAAGGATAAGATAATGGAGAAGATGAAAGAAAACAAGGACATCATTATGAAGGACGAAGACTGGAGGGACTTTAAGACCGCCACTAAATGTTTCATTTGCGGTGAGGACTTCAAGGAAGGAGACAAAAAGTGTAGAGACCATTGCCACTTTACAGGTAAGTATAGAGGATGTGCCCACGATGATTGTAATTTACAGTTTTCAATGCGTTATTACAAAATTCCAGTCTTCCTTCATAACTTGAAGAACTATGACAGTCATTTAGTGATTGAAAGAGCCAATCAACTATCTGAAAATGCCAAGATAGATGTAATAGCACAGAACAGTGAGAAGTTCATAACCTTCGCATTCAAGAATATGTGTTTCAAAGACAGTTTTTCGTTCTTATCGTCCTCATTGGACAAGTTGGTCAAGTTGAGCAAGTATGAAGATGGACAGAAGAAAGAAAACTGGCAAAACAACTTCAAGTTCAGCAAAAGAAACCCCTATGTAAGCAATGACAATGATTTAGACTTACTCACTGACAAAGGTGTCTATCCATACGATTACTTCACTTCATTTGACAAGTTTAGAGAAAAACAATTACCACCGAAGAAAGCGTTTTACAGTAATCTCACCGAAAGTCATATTGAAGATGATGAGTATGAAAGAGCACTTAAGATATGGGAACATTTCGGTATAAGAAATCTTGGTCAATATCACGACTTATATTTGAGAACTGATGTTTTATTGCTTACTGATGTCTTTGAAAATTTTAGAGACCTTTGTTTGGAATACTACGGTTTAGACCCCGCACATTATTTTACACTTCCTAACTTCGCTTGGGATGCTATGCTTCTAAAAACTGGAGTGGTGTTAGAACCGATTACCGACCAAGAGATTTATGAAATGATTGAGAGAGGTTTGAGAGGTGGAATGTGTCAAGTGGGTCATAAGGAGGCAAAGGCAAACAATAAGTATATGAAAGACGAATATGATGAAACAAAACCATCTAACTACATCAACTATTTAGATGCCAACAACCTTTATGGACTGGCAATGTCAATGAAACTACCCATAGGAAAACTCAAATGGATAAAGAAAATGCTGACGGAACAGATGATAATGGACTGGAATGAGAACGACGACAATGCCTACATCCTTGAAGTTGATTTAGAGTATCCAAAGGTACTAACAAAAAAGTCCTTGGCAAATTCAAGGACAAGATGGATGGAAAAATCATCACAAACTTCATAGCGTTGAGACCGAAGATGTATTGTCTAAAAGTATTCAACGAACAGAAAGCAGAAAAGAAAGCAAAAGGAGTTCCAAAACTGAAAGTTAAACGGGATTTAGATATGAAAGACTACGAAGCAACACTCCACGAACACATACCAAAGAATGTAAATTTCAATGCCATCAGAAGTAAGAACCACCAAATCTACTCAATAAATCAAAGTAAAGTTGGACTGACCAGTTATGACAATAAAAGGTATTGGTTCAACGATACTGACAGTCTCCCCTATGGGCACTACTCACTTTCCAATTAATAGTATTATTTAACAATAATATTATCAATTGTTCATATCAAACTCCAATTACAGAGTTGTAGTTTCGGTAGTTGATATATAAGTTTGTTTTGTTTCTCCTTTTCCAGTTTCTCCACTCTTCCCACCA